CCCCCCCCCCCCCCGGAGCTCGTTGTTACGCTAACTTCAGACGGTGATGTAATAATTTTGGGAGACGGTAATATCGTAAAACTATTGTCTCCACGTTTTGCCCCTCTCTCTCTCTCTCTCTCTCTCTCTCTCGCGAATTTAATGCCTGAGCGCGATACTTATCGTCCGAAGTAGAAAGATAGATGGTTAGATAAGCGCATTTATTCTCACACCCTGGAGTTAAAGCTCCCTAAGATCGTTACGCAGAAAGGAGATACGGCGACAATTATATAATAAACAGAATGAAAGGAAGAAAAGGGGGGAAAAAAACACATGAAAAAAAAAGTAAAGAGAGGGAGAAATAAACTCGGTAAAATTCAGGATACCGAGGTTACACGATGCTTGCGCGCATGAAAACTTTGCGAGGATTATCTTCCGTTGATAGTTCAGCTAATATCGGTACTCGCAATCAAATGGATCGCTATTGATCTTTCGGTCTCCCATAAGCTCGCGTATTGAAGCGCTTCGAGGAAGAGCGAGGGAAAGAGAAACGTCCATTTCGGTCCGCTTTTTCAATTTTACCCGCGCTGTTAAAAAACGTGCTCTTCGGTTTGGAACGCGCACTTTGATAGCGCTCAATCGGTTTTGCGACCTTCAGCGGCGGACCGTCGCGTTATTAATTACTCGCGAAACATTTCGATTACAATCGGATCGATGGAGCTCCGCGATGTTAAACTTACTTTTGAAGTATGCGGCCAAACCGCCGGCGATGGCCAACAGAGCGATCGCGTTCAGCAGAATTTGCACGAATTTGAAACGCAGCCTCCCCGTCGTCACGTAATGGCTGCTGGTCATGTCTCTGATTATCTGAGCAGACACACATACGAGTAATGGTGGGAACACGGAACAAATGTCGCGACGTTCCTAAATCATTTTTAAAAAACTACACTAATGTAATAACATCGTCAACATTTGCACTACCAAAATCTGTTATATTCGTTTTGCGTTTTCCTTGCGTCTTTTGAAAATAATTGTTTTTTTGTAAAATTCATTTAACATGTCCTGTTAGAATCTAAAATGATATAAAATCCTTTCCAAAATTATGTAAATTTTTTTCCTATTGAAGAGTATCGTAAAAAAAGAAATGGTAGACCCTTTAGAAGATTAAATGAGCAAATGTAATTATTTTATATTTATCTAAAGAAAAGTGAGATAAATGTTGAATTATTGACAAATATTTATTTTTTTGCTTTAAGAAGACATTTTCTGTATGTAAAACATCATTTTTATCAAGATTCGGAGCTTTGGCCAACAATTTTTTACTTCCAAACCACTTGCCTTGATATAATAAATTATACAGAAGATGCAAAAAAAAGAATACATTGCTATTGAATCAAGAGGATTTAGTCCGTCGTCGGCTAATTATACTCTTGATACAACAGCATTTTCCCCCCTGTAACTTCGTCCTCAACATGCGGCTACATCCGCTCACGTCGCAACGCTCACCTTGTGATGCAAGGAATTGTTGTTCCCCGCGTGCATCCTGACGATAGTCTGCAAACTAGCTGGCGTACTCGTGGACTTCGTTATCGGCCTGCCGGATGAGTTGTCAGGTTCCGACACCAAAGCTCTGTCTGGAAGGTGCAAAAGATCTCGTTGTCGCGTGAGAGCGTCGACACATCAACGAAGAGTTCACCGAGTTCGCGATTTCCTCAAATATCCGAGATTCGGGAGAAGGTGGATCGCGAGTTTCTTTTTGCGGAAGTTTCTTTTCGCCGAGTCTACCGCGGCGATGAATCGGAAAACTTTTTCTGCTCTTCTCGCCTCGGATGGACACCTTTAAATATCGCAACGGGGAGCGAAGAGAGAAAGAGAGAAGGAATAAAAGAAAACGGGAGAAAAACTTTTCGCCTCGTCTCTGCATCACAGCCGGCCGCTTATCTATCGTTCTCGGGTAACGTCGCGAGATACATAAAATATAATATGTTTGGACGATCTTCGAGCGAAAATTAAAAAGAAACTTTTTCAAGTTTAATCTCCGAACAATGATATGCAAAAAATAATAAAATTGTGCAAAATGTGTCAATATTGACATAAATAATCAAGAAAAACGGGAAAGACTGCGAACATTCATATAAATTGAAATTTCTGCCGGAAACCCCCGTGGCTTGTACAAACAAATGACAGCAGTTTTACACTCTGTGGAACGATAGAGAAAAAAAAAGTTTGTTGAAAACGAGTTCCCGTAAGATATCTATAATCTCACCGGAACTCTCGGCAGGAATTTTCCGCCATTTTTTCCGTTTTCCTTTATTTATATTAACATTCACTAATATTTTGCACAATTTCATTGTTTTTTGCACATTTTTTTACTAAGGTTAAACTTGAAAAAAGCATTGTTCAATTAATGAAGGGCGCGCCACAATATCGCGCTCTCGCCGTACCCTTCTCTTTCTCTCTCCGTCACACCGTCGAGGAGTGTTCTATCGTCATTTTTTCGCGAACTTCTCGCCGGTAATGCGATAATGCGTCCTTTTAAGGGGTCCGTGAGTTCGTCGCGAACGAACCTGGCATTTTGCCGTGCTTGTGAGGCAGCAAGGGAGCTTCCATTGTCTTGCTGGTGTAGCTGGGCGAGCTGGTCTGACTGAAACTGTCGGACGAGACGTTGCTATCCTGCCGGACGCTGATGGGCTTCGGCACGGGACTCTGGCAAATGGCGCTCAACGGCGGCGGCAGGTTCGTTTGCGTAGCCTTCGGCAGTTTCTCGAGTTTTTCGCCGGCGGCCCGCTCCTTCCTCAGATTGTGCTGCAAAATATTCCTAGCCCTTTCCATGTCACTTTCGTATTTGGTGCGCGCAATCGGGTGCTGCTGTGTTCTAAAGCCTGATCGCCGTGACGACGTCTACCGAGATCTCGACTTTCCTTCGAGGTCCTCGTATCCAAACGTAATTATGTGTCGTGCATTTAACGCGCCCCACGTTGAATTTATTGTTCAGACGCATCTTATATTTTTTCATTATTTTAATGTAACTTATCACGTCGTATAATCATGTATTGATGTCGAAATGCGTATTACAATTATTCTTTTTTAAATAATTCCAAGAAAATTTTTATAATATTATGTGAAGTGGACATATAACACTAATAGAACTATTCCTATAATATTAAAAAAAATATTACATACTATTCTTTATAGGAATATTATTTTAATATTGAATAATGTAAATATAATATTCCAGAAGCGTTACGCGCTTATAAAGTTCATCTCGCGCGAGAGAGGGGAGAAAACGCGGGAGAACCGCCGAGGACACCGAAGGCTCGGGAAGGACGAAATACCTGGCTGGTTTGTCCTTGTTCATCCGTCTCTCGATCTCCTGGCGCCGTCGGTAATCGTCGTCTTCGTGCAGACGCCTCTCCAGATTCTTCGAGGCCGCCTGCAGTTCCTCGAACTTCGACCTGCCGTGCTCCGCCTCACTTCGGGCCAAAATCGTCGTCGTGTACTTCGACTCGGGAAACATCTCCCTCTGTGATGACGCCGTCTCCTCCCTGGGCTTGCTCTCGGACGGTTCCTTCTGCTCGCAGTTCCCGGGCTCGTTCTCCTTCCCCAACTTCGACGCTTGCTGCCTGAAAGGAGAGAGCTCGTTAGCAGCGAATAATGAGGCTTCCTGAAACCTGACCATGCTTCTCTCATCGGTGGCACTAATGGATCTTTGCATTTTTCTATTTATCCGCGGTAGCGCATGAACTACTCTGTATAAGAGGAAGCTCTTGCCTGCGGTTCGAAACTGTGCGAGGGAGCGTCGCGACGAACTTACGCCTCGTTTAACGGACTTATCGCGAACGCAATCATCGGCCCGAGCACGTTGTTACGTACGATCTCCTCCGCGCTGGAAAAGCACGGCTTTCGAGCGGTTTTCGCTCGAGTGTTTCGAGAAGCACGCTCGAAATGTGGACATATTCACGGGCGCGGTAACAATATCGTTAGCACACTTCGTTTGTGAGCGGGCAATGTAAATACACAAAGGTGATTCCCCCACATATCGGGCGCGCTCGTAATTAATACGTTTGTATCAAACGTTATTACCTATTGCGCCGCGCTGTGTTGGGCGTGCCCTGGCGAGAATCCACCCGGCCACCCGAATCCTCGAACTTCGCCTCAGCGCTCTTAATAATTCTCTCATGAAGTCTTTTCTCGAGGTCCAAGGAGACCTTCTGGAGCTCCTCGAAGCTCGACTTTTGGACGAGCTTGCGTCCTTCTCGGAAGTTCGCCCGCTCAAAATCAGCGACGAAATCGTTCGTTCCCCGCGCGTCCTTCCCGCCGTAACTCAACAAGTAATCCTGCGGCCCGTGAAGAGACGAAAGCATATAAATTGATTCCGAGAGAGCAGTCGCGATGAATCCTTTGAAAAGCTTCTCCGCCGCAGTTATATGTATTCAATAAACATAACTCACACGGCGGTAAGTCCATCAAAAACGAAAGGAAAAGAGAAATATTTTCAACAGGACATAAGAAATATTTAGCTGTAATTTTTTTAAACGCTCTGCTGTTCCCTTAATATTGAACTTTGAATCGAAGGAGAGTTTTGTGCAAAAAATACGAAAGTAAGTCACCTGCGACGTCTGATCTTGATTTCTGGCAGGATCCAGGTCTATGAGTTTCTCGTTCGTCGAGTCCGCGTTGTTCCACTTCATCATTGACGAAGGTGTGGACGTGGGATCGCTCGTCTTGCGACGAGCCGTTTGATTATCTTGTCTGGCCGTGGGTTGCAGAGGTATAGGTTTCTCATTCTTGCTCCTCTTCGGTATCGCCGGCGGCCTCAGCGGAATCGGCGGTGGTGCTACCTGTGTCAAAGCCAAGGAGTCTGCAGTCCTCTCCCCTTCGATTATATTATATCTAACGTACGCATCGGACAGGCTTTATTTATTTTTTCTTTCCCCACGATTTTCTCCGAATAATCCACTGATTAATCCAAGTTTTCTTTCCTTTCTTCGTAACAGTTTATTGAGTAATTTCACAAAATTTCCTACTTTGACGTTGTTTTTACAACAGAAACTAAACCGGAAATCTTAACGCATGTTACGTCCCGGACGCGGATGTTGGATTATTGAAAGATACGGAGTCGCGCCGCGAACGCAAGGCTTCGGGTGGAGTGTAAATGTCCTTTTTGGGTCAATGGATTTAACCAATTTACCCTAGGGTGGACGAGGCTGTGTGAATGCTGTTGTGGATATGGATGAGCGGGTATGTACGTGTGTGTGTGTGTGTGTGTGAGATTGAAGGAAGTTAATAGATAAAAAAAAAAGTTGCAAGAATTAAATTTATTTACGTTTGAGGAGTTGTTCTGAGTTAAGTCGTACTTGACGTAGAAGCCGAGAGAGAGTCGCGAGGGAACAAAAGCTTTTTCTTTGCTTCTCGCGTCACCTTTTATAGGTAGGTAATGAGACACCCCCGCGCAGGTTCCTCATTACCCAATCAGGGCAAGGTGCATCTTACGCCATAAAAAATGAGTCAATTGGGTTTTTCTTGCGATGTATTAGAAAACTGTTGGTTTTCCAGTGTTATCGCTGCCGATTGCTTCATCTGAAGCAATGATCTGATACCTCGGGGTATCCCTAACCAGAAGATATTGTTTAACACTCGAGATTCTTTCGGCGCTATCGCTGCCGATTGCTTCATCTGAAGCAATGATCTGATCCCTCACCAGAAGATATTGTGTAACACGTTACGCGAACGTAACACGCAATAATAATATTGAGATAGTAGTAAAGTTTCTTTTCTTTCAATGGCGATATTAAGGGACCTCTACATAAGTTTATTATTTACTGAAAAAGAGAATATTTATCCATATCCTCTATTTAACTACCTAAGTAATAAATATTAATTTTGAACGAAATTAAGACAAATATGTGTACAATATTACGAATATGAAGATATATTTTTTATTTTTCTTATTAATGTTTTATTTATACGTCAGTTGAGCTAATGGAGGTGCACACACATAATAAGTATCGCGGATGTTACTATAAATTTCCTATGGTTATAACAAAATCGTAGAAGATTCTGAAATTCTTCTATAAAATCTTTATATTAATTCTTAATATCGCCGACGTTTTCCATTAAAATCCGCTTTTCAATCAAATGTCGTTTAGAAAAAATAAAAGTTACAAATATTAACCTCGAAGAATGTTCAGGGTGAACTACGCAATGTGATCAGTTTATTCTACTGTCAGTGGAAAATTTTTTTGTCTAATATAACATGGTTTAAGGTGGGCTTCAGGATTTTTGGCGCAGTATCGCGTAATTACGGCAAGACGAGCCGTCGGTATGGCGATATTAATTCGTAAAGTAGCGGTAACTACCGGGTTTAGTCGCATGATTTAAGGTGTCGAGATTACGTGGTCCGCTGAGATACCGACGATGCAACTTTCCCAACTTACCTGCTTGGGACGAGCTGCAAAGTTTGAAAATCCTTTTAGTATCCTCCCGTCATATTTTCCCCCTTAATCATTAGGGCAACTTTCCCTTCAATATCTCTCCATTATCCGTTGCGACGAGTCTTTTATACGATAGATGTGTGGTATACCGTAAATATCGAGCGAAATGCTAACTCGTAAATCGGTCGACGACAAACAGAAATAAAGAAAATTTCTTACCGCCGGGGTAGCGGAATGTCGACGTGGTATTGGCGGCGGTACATCACTTTCGGTGGGTGGTGGTTCCGGAAGCAGGGAAGTTCTAGTCGGTAGACCGATGCTATGAATTCTGCTCTGTCTGAAATTCAAAACGAATTGCCGCGTAATATTTGTCAGGCCACGCGAGTCTCCGAACGCGACGATCGCGACTTCGCAATGACCCGCAATTCGAAAGTTGCTAAATAATAATCACAGCGCTGTGAAAGCCCACTTTACTGCGGACCACTTTAATCGCGACATTCGCCGCTTCAACAGCGAAGATAGATGATCACGTCGTCAAGCTTAATGATCGTCAAGAAGAAGATCGCTCTCAACAATGCTCTTAAGCATTAATTACGCTTCGTGCACTTAACATTAAAATCGCACATGACATCACAGCTAAATTATACGCGTTCACGTGAGAAACATCTACTTTATTATTCGCTACCGTTCATATCTGTTGTACAAGACATTTCGGCTTAAATTTTAGCGTGTCACGATAACGCACATGGAAAGTTTTATCTATAATCAAAAAATGTGTGAAACACGCTATGCGACAAACAACATCACGATATATTTTATGCTGACGACTGATCACGAATAGTCTATAAAATTTTACAGCATGAACGTTCCCAATATTGATAGTTAATCGCTCAAATGCTGCATTAACGTGTTTACTGCACGAGGTAGACATACTTTCGTGACAAAATATAATTATAATAAAATCTCAAAATTCTCGAGATGATACTCATGCAATGAAAGGCGCACTTTTCTACATCAGATAGTAATTCGCAGAATTCGCACTCCGCATCGTAAAATTAAATAACCTCATCGTTAAAGCTAGTAAAGATTAAAATTTTTAAGATGAAAATCAAACAGCTAGCGGCGATCTTGTTTTTAAGCGATACACGATTTCACGAAAGAGGTGTCTACTTTATGATTTATTTCTACCCTTACTCCTTCCTGGAAGACAATATTAACAATAGCTAAAAAATTCCGTATGCCGCTTAAACAAAGCCTGTTCATTGCACTTGTCAATTACTTATCGCATAGACTTACCTTACAATAAATGAATACCCTAATTATGTATAATGTAATCTAATGGTTGAAATTATTAGGTGGTAAC